AGAGAGAGAGAGAGAGAGAGAGAGAGAGAGAGAGAGAGAGAGAGAGAGAGAGAGAGAGAGAGAGAGAGAGAGAGAGAGCCCTTCACCTGCAATTGGAAAAATGACCCAATTGCTTATTCGCTGACGCAACTACCCTTAGGGAAGGGCGACGCAGAAACTAAATTCGCAAAGCGAGAGACCATGCAGTGCAAGCGAGCAATTGAACCAGCCCCCTCTTCATTGCTAGCCTCCCCAACAAGCGAAAGGAGATCGCATCCGCCATCCCATCTTATCAGCTGGGAAGCGAAACCAAGAATGGTGCAGCAGATGCAGGAGTTCACCAAATGCCTCCGCCGCCGTCGCATGAAAGCGAAGCAACAATTGCAGCGAGTGCGCGTTCAAGAAAACGCTGCATGAATACCTCCAACCCTCTTCTCCCCCCCCATCACCCTCTTCTTTCCGCGCGAAAGCGAAGCAACAATCGCAGCAAGCGTGCGTTCAAGAAAACACTGCATGAATACCGCCAACCCTCTTATCCCCCCATCTCCACTAAGGCTCAAGGCCACGTCTGCCTGTGATCTCTCCTCCTCTTCCCTAACTGACGCCTCACCATAGAGGCAGAGATCGGAGGTTCACGCGGGAAATGGCATCGCCATTGGCATCGCTGCCGCTGACTTTATTGCGCAAACTGCGGGCACTGCGACTGCCATCGAACATCATCAGGCCACTCAACAAAATCAGTCTGCTCTTCGCAGCGCAACTCCAGCACCCCCCGGACACAACTCCTTCATGTTCAAACTCCTCAAACGATCTGGTAGCTGTCGACGACAAGTGCCGTCCGGATGGCCGCCTTGACCGGATTGCCGCTGGTTGTCAACACCGAGGTAGCCTGCCGCCGAAAAAAAAAACGAAAAAAGTGAAAAATAAATAATAAAAAAATGGAAGTCTCGCAACCAAGAAGCGAAAAGGAAAAAAACTCAGAAAAAGAAAAAACACACAGGAAACTGGGGGCTGTGACAGAAATGGGCGGCTGTGACGGACTCTTTCGTTGGCATTTCATCCACTTTTTTTTAAGTAGATAGATGGGAAGAAAAAAAAAATTTAAAAATTAAAAACTCATGTCGTGCCAGGTTGCAAACGGGATTCCAGCAAGCTTGGGGTCATCGAGAAGGACAAGTAAAATGCCGAACGATACACAACATGGATACGATAAGTGACGCAAACCTTTTTTTTTTCGAGTCACATGCTTTAGAGTGCTTCTCCAAGAGGAATTGAACCTGTGACCTGGTACTCTGTTTAGGCAAGCAACACTTGAGAGCGGAATCACACTGTTTAGAAAGCAACCCATTTCAAAGGGTTCAGTGACCGAATCCAAGCAGCTGCGAAGGTGAAACGGGGAGAGGATTCAAAATGAATGGTGAAGGACGTCCAACGAGCTTGTGAGGCATTTTCCTGCTAATGGGCCTCGCTCCAGTACTCGCCAAACGTGCAAAATGAGAATGAATCTTCCAGTAGAACACGGTAAGATACACCGCCGTATTATTTGTCTTTTGTGCATGTGGAGCGTGGCCCGATGAAAGGAAAAGAACGAGCACAATTGACTCACGCAGTGGAAGAAGGAGACAAGTGAGTGTGTCATGAGGTGTCTGAAAAAAAAAGGAGGAGAGGAGGAGGTGGAGGAACAGGAGGGGGGCCAAGTCGTACCAGCCTAGTACAAATAATATTATTACTACCTTGTTCTTGTGTTTATGTTGTAGTAGCAAAAGTAGTATTAATCATAGTGGTAGTAGTCATCGTTGTAGTAGTAGCACTGGTAGTCTTAGTACTAGTGGTAGCAGTGGTAGTCTTCGTACTAGTGGTAGTCGGTCACGTCTGAAAGCAGCACACAAAAGTCGAAGAATGGCTTCCTGTGCAGATCCTTAACGGGATCAGCCTATAATTGTTTCATTCCAACAAGGTTGTCTCGAACAATCCGATCTACAACAGTAGCAGTAGCAGTAGCAGTAGCAGTGAAGCAGAAGCAGTAGCAGTAGCAGCAGTAGCAGCAGTAGCAGCAGTAGCAGCAGTAGCAGCAGTAGTGGCAGCAGTAGTAGCAGTAGTAGTAGCAGTAGTAGTAGCAGCAGTAGCAGCAGTAGTACCAGGAGTAGCAGCAGTAGTAGCAGCAGCAGTCGTAGTAGCAGCAGTAGCAGTAGCAGCAGCAACAGCCGTAGCGGCAGTAGTAGCAGCAGTAGCAGCAGGAGCAGCAGCAGCAGGAGCAGCAGCAGTGGGAGCAGCGGTGGTAGCAGCGGTGGTAGCAGCGGTGGTAGCAGCGGTGGTAGCAGCGGTGGTAGCAGCAGTAGTAGCAGTAGCAGTAGCAGCAGTAGCAGCAGTAGCAGCAGCAGTAGTAGCAGCGGTAGTAGCGGTGGTAGTAGCAGCGGTAGTAGCAGCGGTAGTAGAAGCAGTCCTCTACTGCTACCTCTGCTACTGCCGCTGCTGCTACTACTACTAGTAGTAGTAGTAGTAGTAGTAGCAGTAGTAGCAGTAGTAGCAGCAGTAGCAGTAGTTGCGGTAGTAGCAGTAGTACCAGTGGTAGTAGCAAGAGGAGCAAGACTGGTTAGTACTGTTTAGCATGAACCCAAAATCCATGTAGATAAGATGGAGGAGAGTGTTTAGCATGCATTCAAAATGAATGCCAGAGCTAGAATTTGAATCAATCTCGTTGTCTGGGGGAGAGGAGAGCACAAACATACCTTAATATCACAGTACAGCTTTGTGGCTGTGAATTTGACATCCATTGGGAAGAACACTGACGTATCCGTGGCAGGGACAACGAACTCAAGGGAGCCACTGCAACCACAACACACAGTAATGGCAGTCAGATACATGCAAACTAGCCATAAATGCAACCACATACATCCATGGACGTCCTTGTGTGAAGATCCTATTAGAACAGGCAGCTCCATTGCCACAGCGGACAAAGCCTTATTCCCCTCTCAAGCTCCATTGACAAGCTCTTGATAACAAAACGAGACCAGGTCTCTCCCCCCCCCCCCCCCCCCCCCCACAAAAAAAAAAAAAAGGAAAAACAACGTGACTAGATAGATCCAAATGTGAAAATACCACCCCTTCTCCTCAGGTACAGGGACACATCATTCACTAACAATAGGGGCCACTTCACCTTTCCAATCAAGTCCAAGATGAACTTGCTAGGAATCGAACCTGTGACCTGAATTACAGTCCCATACGAACTTGTTAGTCCAAGACAGAGAGAGAGAGAGAGAGAGAGAGAGAGAGAGAGAGAGAGAGAGAGAGAGAGAGAGAGAGAGAGAGAGAGAGAGAGAGAGAGAGAGAGAGAGAGAGAGTTGTTGTTCTCACTTCCTGTTTGTATTGTCAATGTGCTCGACCACCCATTCTAAGACGGACCGCCTCGCATCATACCTGCAAAACAGCAACATATTTTATAAGCACCAAGAGTTTTTGTGCAAATGCACACTGAGAAAAAAAAAAACACTGCAGGAAAGTCAAGAGGAGTCATTTTCACGATTGCACTGCATACTTGAGCAACCACCCATCTTGACGATTGCAAAATTCACAAAATGAGCTTCTGACCCTGTCTATCTACAACGCACAACACAAGTGTGCAAGAATTCACTCGCTCCTTCGACGCACCAAGTAACACAAGTCGTCCATCTCATCTGTGTTAGTGCGAATATGACTTATCTAGTGTGTGGGAAATGCTCTTGAGTCACTGCATGACTGTCACAGATCAGGTGTGTGACATGGTCGTTCCATGCCTGACTTGTGTGTGACTTGTGGTCACGTGTCACTTTTCTTACACGTGTGAATTGCGTGTGGCTTGGTGTTAGACGAGTGACTTGTGTGACTTGATGTTATGTGCGTGACTTGTGTGACTTGGTGTGACATGTGTGACTTCTGGTAAAATGTGTGACTTTCTGTTCCACATATGTGACTTGGTCTTCCATGTGTGACTTGTGGTCAAATGTGTGACTTGCTGTTCCATATGTGACTTGTGGTCAAATGTGTGACTTGTGGTCAAATGTGTGACTCGTGGTCAAATGTGTGACTTGTGGTCAAATGTGTGACTTGTCTTACATGTGTGAGTTGTGTGACTTGGGTGTTACACGAATGCCTTGTGGTTCATAGCCCTTTTTCCGCTCATCAGCTTCCTTTGCTGCCTGGCCAAGAATAGAATGCAGCCGACACCACCCCACCCTTGACTTGATGTTATGTGTGTGACTTCTGTGACTCGGTGTGACATGTGAGACTTGGTGTTCCGTGTGTGACTTCATGCTCTATGTGTGAGTTGGTGTTCCATGCGTGACTTGGTGTTCCATGTGTGACTTGTGTGACATGACATAAGTAGGCGATAAGT